CTTTACCTCGTTCACGAGGCAAAGACGTCGTGTATATGAATTACTACATTATCACGAATGTATAGACTATAGAGGAAAACTTTCAAGTGGTAACGAATAAAGAAAATACGAGTAACGTAATAATGATATGAGCACGATGTATATTCACTTTTATTTTTTACAGGCATTGATGAATTTGGACGGAGTGCCACATCCCTGTTTCATGGTTCTGTAAAGAAGTTCTCATCAAATATGACTTGCGAACGTGCTCCTAATTCTGGATTTGCTTTCGTAACGCAGTTTCGTGTGTCATGTTCGGCCGAGGATAATGACGATTTTATTTATCAATTCTTCCTCCTAAATGAAGGTAATTATAAATTTTCGTTGATGTTACAATTCATCCTGAGAAGATGACAAATTATAATGCATAGCTATATCGATCACTCGTGATGTTGTTTTTAAAGAGATTCACATGAGAATGATTCCTCTTAGAGTATCCACACGTTTGTTTAGATGACACAAATCCTTTGCTACAACATGGTTATGAGAACACTTTAGAGAATCTCATTCTTCCTCCGGGACTCACGAACATTGGGATTCAAGTATGTTCATCAACGAATGCTTGCATCAAAGTAAATATATTCATTGAGGTAAAACCGGCACCTGATGAAATTGCTGAAAAGATCATCAGGGATATTCCAACACAAATATCTAACGCGATCAACTCTGGAAATTTGCAACAAGCCACAAAGTCTGCTGCATTATTATTGAAACATGTGGGGCTGGATAGTGAAACGGTTTGTATATCTTCGGCATAAAAATTTTACTTTTGTAATCATATAAAAAATAAAATAAGAATGTAATATTGCAAAACAATTTTAGTATTGAAAAATATTTTTTTTAGAAACTGAAGTTGACGAACAAGTTGGCCAGCACACGATTCTCATCTACGAAATCAGCTAAACAGATGTCAGATATTTTGCGAGAATCCACTAAAACGACGGGAATGTTACCAACTGATGTTGTTGTAAGTTTTTAGACAAGTTTTTGTTGTTTCTGACCTTCTGTTTGATATTGGTCTCACACATGATTTTATCTTTTTTAAGGAAAACTTAGTAGAAAAACTGACGGAAATACAAGAATGGATTCTTTATGACGAAGAATCCTCGTCTGATACCTTAAAATCGGTTGCGTTATCTTCTATGCATCTGTCGTCAAATATAATGGAATCAATGCCCGATTTCAACGAGGTTTGGGAAATTTTATCATAAAATATTGAATATTAATGCAAATTTGAAAATACAGAAGTACTTGTTTGTTATTTAAAAGTGCAGATATTACGACTACTTTCAGTGTTGTTATTGATTTTTAGACCACAAAAACCCGTCGATCTGATTCGTCATTGCTTGAACGTACAGCATCAGTAATAGATCATCTGGGCTCGGAGATTTTAAAAACTGCCACACCAGGGGATAACACTATCAATGTCACCACATCTGCATTCAGGGCCAATTTAAGGAAGATGGAGAGAAATTCCAGTATGCTTGACTTTTTTATTTTAATTAATTTTAATTGTAATCTTGGTGGTTCACCAAATAACTAATCTGTCACAATTTTGAAACGCCATATCTCTTGTAGTTTTTTTTTGATTGCATGTGCTAACGTGTTAAATTAATTTAGTGTCATATTTTGTAAAGCAGGCGTATCAATCGGCGAAAACGAAATCAAAGCAAGAATTGATTGTGACTGGTCAAGCATAAGACAAACAGAAACTATCAATCTGCAGGTGAGTAACTCTCCATAGCACCACTATTACATAAATCGCACAGTAAAATGAAACAAAAATGATTTGTTAGTTTTGCGAATCCATTACAAATAGATCTATTATTTAGGTAATCCGTTACCTTTCAAAGAAAACGAGATTCAACACACAAACTGCTGATGTTGATGAAGTCGCGTCAATTTCACTTTCAACAACTCATAAGACTCACAACTTACCGAAACCAATAACAAATTCATTGATTCCATCCGAACCTATTCAATTTTATCTACACGCTGACAAGGACATTCCGGATTCTTCTACTGAACTAGAATTTAAAATCAAAGGCTTCAAAGATGATGTTCAAAACTTTACATTAAATATTGAAACATATGAAAACATGCTCATCAATATATGGCTGCTTTCGAAAGATTTTCCACAGAATGCAACTGTAAATTTAACGGTTCAAACTGAAAGTGGAAACGTCGAATCTTTTCTTATTTTGGATAAATCAGGTAAGATAAAAAACACAATAGTTTACAGAGAATTGTGAACTTAAAATGTACAGAGGGCAATTTGTAATATGGTATTTTAGAGAGATATAAACATATGTTTTGTATGTTTGTTTTTCAAATTTTGCAGATTTTTCAAGCGATATTTATTCATGGAAATTCCAACTTGACGGCAGAGGAAAAATAAACTATGAATTTACTATTGTAGCATCAGTGACAGAAGATGTCACTCAATCTCGCATAAATTCAATTTCGACTCGCGATAGCGCTGCTACTGCTGGAACCATTGCAGCTACCTCAAACTCCAATATTAATTTGACAAATACAATTTCTGAATCAACTGCTGAAGCTGAAACAATATCTGCTACTAACATTCAAGACACTGCTTTAACCCGTGAGATTCGGTTTAATTTAACGATGAATATATATGCCATGAAATGTATGCGTTGGGACGATATGATAAATGATTGGAGCACGGCATTTTGCAAGGTTAGTGGAGATAAATTTCTTCACTATAAAATCGAATCGTAATCAACTCGAACGTCAGTTTTCAGCAAAGTGTGTGCACAGTTTTATATACAAATTGCTTAGATCTGAATCTATCTAAATCCGAATCTAGATCCGAATCTGATAGCGTGCGATATTGATGCGACATTCCAAAAATTCTTTATTTCAAGAATGTTTCCCACCAATACATTCCATTTTATTTCGATAATGACTAAAATGATTTAAATTTCATAACTTTTCAATCAAGGCAAAATCGGGGAATGAATCAGATAACTTAGATTGGTGCGAATGTGATCTGAGTCAAACACAGTCCGGAAGGATGAGTGGAAAACCTACATCGGTCAACATATTTTCATCAAAGCTCCTCGTCTTCTCACCTCATTTGCCAAATAAAATTGAACTCAATGTTGTCGAATACACAAACAACACAAGAGAAGTGGATGTAAGAATTCAAATTCTTTTATACTATTTCAAGCTTAGTTAGATCAATGCTGAAATGACAGATTTATTTTCCAACTCGTAGTATTAAAATGGAAGCTGGTCGTGTGTGTAGATGTGTTAGTTGAATGCGCATATAAATCACGTTTTTATAGTCAGTGAAACGGATTTTACTACTTCATTCAACAGTCTTCAAAGCAATAAAATTAAACATGCTATCTCGAATTTATTACTTTTCAGGTGGAAGAAACGATTGAAAACATCAAAGACGAACTAGAACAAAATCCAGTTGTCCTCATTGTCATATCTGTTGTTATGTTTTTCTTCTGTGGAATGATACTTTGGGCCAGATATAAAGACAAAATTACAGAAAACATGGTAGATTGGTTGTTCATTTCGTATCTATAAAACGTTTAGCAAAAAGAAAAAGTTAAATTTGATGTACAAATACAAATTTGCTAAAGTTTGGAAGAGTTAGAAAATTTGAACCTAGAATCTCTGAATTCAAAATAAATCTAACTCCCTTCCGATAATGGAACGTTATGAATTTCAATTTTAGACCGAATACGTGGAAGTGTGCGATAATGTACCTTACGTTTCATATCGATACCTCCTAACTGTATTTACTGGAAACCATAAACATGCGGCACCAACAGCAACTATTGCAGTAAAAATAAATGGCACAAATCAGCAAAGCATTTTACATTTGCTGCAGGTATATATAAATAGCACAAGCATATTTCTATCATAATTGTAGATCATAAAAGTGAACTCACAACAGGAAATGGTGGCCTAAATTTATCATGTTCAACAGATAGGCGGAGTAGGTGACTCTTTGCTTCCATTTAAATATGCTTGTAGTCAAATAAACATCATTCCTAAAATAACTGTAATGAGATTATCTACAATTATGAAACAAGATATTGATATATGGGATGTTACGATTTCCTCCATTTGATGTCCTTACTACTTACTGTAGTGCAACTGCAAATATTCAATTTCGTTGCCAAACTTGTTGATGGCTGCCGTTTTATTTGCTACCACATTAATAGCAATAATAACAGAGATGTTCGTAATCCATTTTATATGATCGTAAAATAATAAAATAGACACTTAATTCTAATTCAATATGTACTTTTGCAGAAACACAATGACGAAGTTCATTCTCTATCACGCGGGAGCGTTGTCACGTTTTTAATGACATCGCTCCGATGTGTCGGTGATATCACATCTGTGGATGTCTGGCAAGATGGAGAAGGAAACAATCCTAAATGGTACGAATACAATTTCACTCGATATAAATATTTTTTAAAAAACTCAAGTCGTATTAGATCACATAAGCCATTAATTATCTACGTTTTAGGTATATTGAAAGACTCGTTGTTCGAGATTATGAAACGAATGAATGTTGGTTTTTCTTGGCAAACGATTGGTTGAACGACGAAGAACCGTTTGCTGAACCTATGGAACTTGTATTATACCCAGCAACAATGAAAGAATTACATTCGTTTCGAAACATATTCATTATAAAAGTCTCATCTTTTTTGAAAGACAGGTGTGTCTCACTGATTTGCCACATTATGACACTGGTGTTGATTGACTAATAATTCTAGTATCCTAGGAAGAGCCCACAAGAGCCCTAGGAAGACCCACAAGAAGTAGACGGATAGACAACATAAATTTCAAATATTTGAAATAAAAAAAATTTGAACCAAGACGAAATGGATATTAGCCAAACGCGAATACTCACAGTCAATGCAAAGAATCTGACAATATGACGAGTTGAAAATTGACTTTTGTGAAACGTAATTATATATTTCCACTTGGGTTTTACAGTCACATTTGGTACTCTGTCTTTGCACTACGACCATGGTATTGTTACAATATGAATAGAATTGAACGAGTTGGTTGCTGCTTTCTTCTGACAATGATGACCATTGTGACATCACTAATGTTTCATGGACGGATTGGAGAGGATTACAATATATTGTATTTATTATCAGCCTCTAATATTATTGCAGGTAACTACTGCCGATATATTACGCCATAATGTTACTAATCTAGGCTTCATAATTTGTAGGATATAAAAGCAATAATACGTAACTAAATAATACTAAAACTTAACAAATATTAGAAAAAAAATTCTTCCAGTCTGAAAAATGTTTCATTGTGTTATGCAATCACAATCTAAGCCGTATTATCACATCATAATGTTAAATTAGGCTACAAAATCATTTTTTTTATATTTCGATATCGCTGAATATCAATCGAAAGCATTGGGTTTCAGGTCTTGAGAGTGGTTTATTGTGCTTTCCAATCACGTATATTGTCTCGGTAATGTTTCAATCGGCAAGATCTCGAAACTCCATAAACAAATCGGACAAAGGGAATATGTCACTCGAGCAGATATCACAAAATTACTTATCATCAAAAATGGAGTTGTTCAACGAAAAGAAAAGAAGAAAATCATCAAATTTGCGTTACACGCAAAAAAACTATCGCTCGCGTAGGTCATCTAAAATCCTCAATCGTAAATTCTCACATAGCCCAAACTCTAGCCAGAACAGCAGAGCTGATGCTAAGAAAAAGTTGTCGTCAGAGAAAGTTGATAGCCCCAAAAAGTCATCAGAGAGTTTGAGATCAGACAAAGAAGTAATATTTCCCAACACAACACATCGACAACGTTCAAAATATAAACAAAGCAGTAATTATAGAACGAGAAAACTAGAAGCGCAAAAGTTCAGGGAGAGAAGAAAATCAAGAAATTCACCGTCTACGAAGCTTCCAATACCTTCTTCTCGTTTCAGCAATTCCAGGTACAGAGATTAATTGTGAAATTTGAATGGAAAATATTATGCTAATAACGACTTTTTTCAATTTGGTATTTAGACAGTTATTCATTACAAGTGGGTTTAGGTAATTGCCCATTTTGTTTGGAGACTTTTAACATTTCGTCGCCTTTTTCTATTTAGTTTTACGAAGAAAGAAATTGCAATTATGGATGTTGACCCAGGTTCATCGGATTTCAAACCACTTCCATGGTTCTTCCGATATATAGGATGGATGATAATTGGAATTGTAAGCACCGGATGTTGCGTACTCAGCATTATATACGGAATTTCATACGGATATAATGACACAATGAAATGGTAGGTGCATATTTACAATTTAACGAAGTACTCTCTATAGTACTCTCTAAACGAATGAAAAAAGTTAATGATAAAAAATATCTCCTAAATTTAATACATTGAAACATATAACATATTTATGACCATACACGATATACTTGCGTAATATTTCTCTATAATTCAGAGTAGTTTAAATAAGAACTTATACTAACTGCATTTTATTCAGGCTAATCTCGCTTTTGTTTGCAATATTGGAAAGTATTTTTATTCTTGAACCGATCAAGTGTGTTATTCTTGCTTATATTGCTGTAATAAGTAACTCACGCTTGGATGTATCAGAATGGATTCCACCGCTGAAAGGAGAAGGTAATATATGCTCGTCTTCAACGGTGTTATGAAGTAAAGTAAGAAAATAGGAAAGAGCACTAATGTTTGGCTCTGTGTTATGTAGAAGTAGAATCACAAATGGGCAGACTCATAAATAAACTCAAACAAATAAACACTGAACAGTGTTTATCGTCGAGATTTCTTACAAATATCGAGATGTTACTTTTAGATAAATTATTATTCGATATACCTCATCTGAATGACGTTGTTTTGAACGTGTGAAACTAATTATCTTTTAATTTTTTTATAGTTGCTTCACAACGGCATGAAAACCGACGTAAGGTATTGAAAGAATTGATTAGAGAACGTCGAACAAGCCCAATTTATAAAGGACCTGTTTCTAAAAAAGATAAAATATACAGCATGGAGAGTGAAACAACTGATCAAAGTTTATGAAAATAACTCAAAGGAAAATCTGTCCAATCAGAAAAAGGTAATACAGCAACCTTACACAATTATGTACTAATTATAAAGAAAATGCGTACGCCATCATCATACACTATTATGACTGCTTTCCTCGACTCGACGCAGATAATGAACCTTCGTTCCGTATAGGGTTGTAGTCAACCCAAAATGCTTAACCTTCAGCATATCCACGATTACCGCTATTCCATCACGGCTCATTTATTTTCGTTGCTAGGTACTGTTATCAGGTATTTTTTCTTTATTGTTTTTTTATAATTCTATACAAATTTTTTTGTCATGAAGTACGATTTACCGCTGTTTCATATTGAAATACAAAATCCGATAACTAAAGTTTATTTTGAAATGGTGAGTTTCAAGTAAATGTGAGCACTATTTATGCTATTTAATTTTGATTACGAAGTCTACTATCACACGATCTCGACCTGTACGAAGGAGCAGCGACTCCATCGTACAGTGTATTGATGTCGGATTAATACTCCGATGACCAGTGGTCTTGACTTATCTCGTGAATTGATGATTTATACCCGGCACCGTTATATATGTCTTTATTTTTGCAGAGCCCAAACACTGAAAAGTTGTTTCCACAACAAGATGAACTGGTATCTACGATTTTGACGGCAAAGCTTTTTTACGAATAGAATAATCAAATCGTAAAAAGATAATCGAATAAAAACTCTAGACTTATTTGCTTTTCTATTTAAATTCATAGGAGTCGTAAAATGTGGAAAATAGCAAATTTGTTGGGAAATGACGGCTAAATCACTTCACCCTCTTTCTCGGCTAAAATGCCAGTTATTTTACTTACACGAAGAATAAAGAATATGTTCTATGGCCAGATTATCGTACTTTCGTTTATCAGTAATATATTAACAGTTAAACTGAAACTGAGGCAAAAGCGAATAACTTTCAATGGTCTTGCAGTATACCAAATATTAGATTTGAAATAGTTCACTTTATAGACTGTTCATTAGTATGCAAACACCAAGAGTAATTATCGAGGTCATCGCGTGTGTAGACTTGTTTGTACATGTTTGCAAATATACTTAATAATAGTTTTTGTCAGGTGACAGGGATATGTTATATATTGTACACTGGTTAACGACGTTTTAAAAGAGCGGGGAGATGATAGGGTGAGATCGCAAAGTGTATTGCTCTTGCAAGATGTATACTATTTCCACTTCAGTCCTCGAGCGGACTAATATGATATATGACAAGATATAGTGAGTTTGGCTAATATTAAAATATGCATTCAATATTAAGTTACCAGAGGAAAACGGAAGTGTTAAGCAGGGAATACAATTGACAATATTTTTACAAATGCGATAAAATTTGACCTAATGAGCTTCATTATTCTTAGTGACATCAGTGATCACTATCCACAATTCTGCACAGTCTATGATTCAAAATTTAAAGGGGGTCAAGATCAAGATAAAATATTGAAACGAGATATGAAAAACTTTTCTATTGATGCCTATAGAACCAATTTAGAATCTTCACTTAGCCCAATCTCAAATTGCCAAATCACTAGTGATAACTTGAATACTCTATTTGAAACATTCATAGAAATAATTCGGACAACTATTGATGCTCATGCGCCTTTGAAAGCAGTAAGTCGGAGCGAAGCCAGATTTCTAGCCAAACCTTGGCTCACCAAAGGGATTCATGTTTCTATTAGAAAGAAGCATAAAATGTACAAAACCCACTTCAAAAAAGGTAACGATATTCAACATAGATCATACAAAACTTACAGTAAATTATTAAAAACTCTAATAACTAAAGCAAAAAAATTATATTACTTCGATAAATTTAAACAAACTTGTGGTGATATTAAATCTACTTGGAAGTTGATAGGACACTTGGCCAATATCAAAAAAGAAAGAAAACTTGCAATCAAAGAGCTAAAAACTGAAAATGGGTCGATGGTATGTGATCCAGTCTGCATTGCTAACTATCTCAACAATCATTTTACCTCTATAGGGCCACAACTGTCTGAAAGTATACCTCAGTCTAATGAGTCTTTTTCGACTAATCTCAAAAATCCAGTGAAAGAATCCTTATTTCTTAGACCAGCAACATTCAATGAAATCTTTAGCACTATAGCAATGCTACCGGATGGTAAAGCGGTTGGGTATGACAATATACCAGCTAAATTTTTAAAAAATGCTGCTGATATAGTGTCCCCTATGCTTTGCAAGTTATTTAATGCCTGCATAGACTGCACCATTTTCCCGAATTGCTTGAAAATTGCCAAAGTTACTCCTGTATTCAAAAGTGGGCAAAAAGAATGTGCATCCAACTATCGACCTATTTCAGTTCTTTCGGCCATAACAATAGTATTTGAAAAACTTCTACACACCAGACTTATACAATTTATAGATAACCATAGCATTATAAACAAATCCCAATTCGGTTTCCAAAAAAAGCACTCTACTAATCATGCGATTCTTGACATGGTTTCTTACTTTTATGACGAATTAGATAAAAAAGAGCATATTAGTGCCATATTCCTCGACCTAAAAAAGGCATTCGACACCGTTGATCATAACATATTAGTTAAAAAGATGTGCCACTATGGTATTCGCGGACATGCATCAAAATTATTCCAGAACTACTTGAGCTCACGTCAACAATATGTCAAAATAGGATCACATTGTTCTAAACTTGAAACTGTACAGTGTGGAATTCCACAAGGATCGATAATCGGGCCAGTAATGTGCATACTCTTTGTCAATGATCTCCCTCATGCCACTAACCTACTTGTGAAACTCTTTGCTGATGATACTGGACTATTCGGAAGTTCAGCTTCATCAAATGATTTGGAACTGTACATGAACTCTGAAATGCAAAAAATCACATCTTGGATGGCTAGTAATAAACTTACTATAAATATTGAAAAGTCCAAATCTCTATTAATTAGCCATAATAAAAATGAAAAAAGTAAGCAACCGATTCAGATTTTTATTAATGACATTCCACTCGAGAATGTCAATTCTTATAAGTACCTAGGTATATATATAGACAATAAGTTGAAATGGGCATCACATATCAACTACATAGCCAGCAAGCTAGCTAGAACAGCGGGAATATTATTTAAATTAAAAACATTTCTTACCACATCAGCTATGCGATTAGTTTATTTTTCCCTATTCCAATCATATCTCCAGTATGGCATTGTTGCATGGGGAAGTGCATCATCCACACGGCTTCGCAGACTTGAGGTGCTGCAAAATAAATCAATCCGAGCAATTGGTAACGCACCTCTACACACCAGACTTGATCCTTTGTACCATAGATTTAACATTATAAAACTTCACCAGGTCCTTGAATTTGAGATACTGAAACTCATGCACCAGTACTTCAACGACAAACTTCCAAAGGCATTTGTAGGGTATTTTACTAAACAGACTGCAGTCCATTCATATCGCACTAGATCTGCCTCGCAAGGTGCCTTATATGTCCCAAGATATACATTATGCTCAACACAAAAATCTATAAAGTATATGGGTGTGAAGTTGTGGAATGATTTACCAGGTACCATAAGATCACTGTCATATCATGGTTTTAAAAGAGACCTGAAAATAAAATATATTGATAATTACCTTTCTGGAAGTTGATCATCTGAAAATTTAATGACCAATTCTAATCTGCTGCCGTTTCTTAACATCTGACTCACGACAGCATGTGACCTTGGCTTGTTATTCTTGACAACGCTGATCCCAGCTCGAGCGATTCAGAGGTGCACGGAGTCCTTATTTTTCAAAATTGCTGCTTGGTTGGCAACGATTATGCCGTTATGTGCCATTGAGGTGTTATATACACCTCAATGTTATGTACATGGTCTAAAAACCTAATTGTACGTTTATTAGAGTTTCATCTACTTTTATTACGATTGGTTTCTCTTTGAATTTGGATTTTTTTCTCCTTCATATATATATATAAAGAAGTTTGTAATAGCTATTTGGTGGTTTTCATGTTTTTCAAATTTGTTATATACACATATTATTCAATTGTTTGATGTCATGTTTTTTATGTTTTGTAAATAATAATGATTAGAAGCATAGGCGTTAACTAAATTTATTTATTAAGCTGAATCAGCATCGTAGGTGTCGCTGCTCGAAGACCTTTCGTGGTCCCTCGCGACTCCTGTCACACATATGAAGTTCTTTTTTTTACTTATTATATATCTTGCCATATTTCCGTGATATATATATATTGATTGTGTTGACGAATAAATGATGATTGATTGATTGATTGATTGGAATCGTATCAAAAGAACGCATCTTTGCAAGGCGTTAGTAGAAGTCTTTTAGAAAGTTTCACAATTGCGTGTAATACTCGGGATGTATCAACAAATTAGTCCACAATGATTCAAATTTTTGCTTGTTAGAAGATAAAAAGTATGCAATACTGCACTGTCTTGGTGTTTTTAATATTTGCCGTTGCCCATGGCCTAGAGGTCGCAAAGGAACCTGAACTACTTATCATAGATTTGCTGGAAAAGATATACGGAACGTTGCACGATACGGCTGAAGACAAAGATGAGAAAGCTTCGGGTAAGACCTTTAAACGATCAGGTAAACTGCAAGAAAAAAAACGTAATCGTGGTATAAATATTAACGGCTTAGTTTGAATATATATATATTTCATTTTAACGGTCGGAAACAAAGAATTACATATGTGCAATACTTACTATGCATTTTCGGCTTTTAGAATAAAAATATTTTCAATAAAATTTAGGGATGCCAGCATAATTTGAAACACTTGGGATAATGTGCTGTGACTAAAACGTAATTATTTATAAAGTTAATTGTATTCAAAGCCAATATGCTGTTTAAATTTTACTTTATAGTTTACTCGGGAAAATCATAGTTAGAAATTTGCACTAATATGAGTCTAATAATTTCAGATTTCAGCCCGCAGGTGAAAACATCATCAGGAACTGTTATTGGCGTAAATACAAATTATTCAAATTCGTTTTACGCTATTCCTTTTGCAATCCCT